TGCCACTGGAAGCGCCTCCAGCTTTTGGCAGGCCTCAGCAAACGCTCTACCCTGCTGAGGTTGGTGTGGGCAGCAGGGCATCCTCCAGACGCACCGTGAAGGCTGCTGGGCTGCAGTGCTCTTACCAGGCATTGCTCGCTGCTTCCCTGAGGGTGCTCTAAGTGAAACAGCTCCTGGAAGACAGAAGGCATGCCATGGCGTTTTGTTGCAAAAGCCCCTGGAGATGTGGTGCTGCAGAGGATTTGTGTGTCTGTGCATGGGAGTGTCCCAGGGCTGGAAGCAGCAGAGCTGTGGACCTTTGAGAAGGGTCTGTGCTGGAAGGGGACGTGCGTGCCGGCAGGTCCCGCTAGTGGGCTCAGGGAGCTGGGAGAGATGTGTACATCATTTTTTCCCCTCATAAATATGAATGCAGCCCCCCTGCAAAAATGCACAGGTTTAACTAATGAAATATTGATTTTTCTAGAGTGTGGTGCTTCTCTAATTTCACTGTGCTGACTGGCATCCAAAACAAACACAGGCAGCAGCTCTTGGCTGAAAACAGGAAGCCTGGTGAAGCCTTTGCTGTGGTGTTTTGTGGAGTGCCTGAGGTGGCTCTGCCTGTCCCTGGGTCTGAGGCAGTAACTGAGTCTTCAGTGTCCCTGCCTGCGGGGGGTCTGGCCTCCTCCAGGAGGATGCCATGAAGGGAGAGCCGGCTCCTCTGCCTTCCAGGAGACCTCACTGCTGGCTTGCCATCTGCAAAATAACTTTTCACCCTATTGCAGGATGATGGCAGGGGCCTAAGGTGGCCAGTGAGGCTTGGGTGGCCCCTGGGAGGTGTAGATCTGAGGGATCTGCTTTCCACTCCTGGAGAGGAGAGCTATGAGCACAGGAGAGCCATTAGCTGTGCAGGAGCGGGGGTCCTGGGCTGGCTCCACCTGCCAGAGCCTAGCACGGCACAGGGAAGGCTGGATTCAAATACCGTGTGCTTTTCCTGCCTCACCTCATCTCCGCAGAGCAATGCTGGCATCCCTGGGGCCATGCACTCGTCTCCTTTGCCCCAGCATGGGAGCAGGAGCTGTCTGCTGGTGCAGCCTGGTGCCAAGCCCTGCCAGCATGCTGGGGCTCGGGCTACGCAGCCCCTCAGACCATGGCGGCAGGGCAACCCCAGGGGCTGCTTTGACCATTGCGTAGTGTCGCAGAAGGAGGGTGAGGGGACTGTGCCAGCCCAGGCTGTCAGGTGGCAGTAGCTCTGCACTGGCAGCAGTCGCTGGCACGGCGAGGGCGGATGCTTCCCTGAGTGTCCAGCACCTGTCCCCGGGCTCATGGGGGCTGTTTTAACTGGTGTGCCAGGAAGATCTGAAAGCTTTTGCTGCAGCCAGCTTTCCAGAGCATCCTCACTCTGCTCCGCCTCATGCCTCTGAGCCCCTGGGATGCTGCCCAGGGCCCCTCGGGGAGCTAGGACCCCTGTGTGACGGGTGCCTCCTTTCTCATAGCAGCACGTCTCACGATGCTGTTGAACGGCTGTTGTGGTGTGAGCAGGGAGGCCTAAGCTGCCCTTCATCTTCCTTGGGAATCCCTAGGATCTGACTGGGAGGATGCACTGGGCCACGCCAGGGCTGTGGAGCTGCTGGATTTAGGAGCAGTCAGAGTGCGTGAGGCATATTCCTTCTCAGTGTGCTGCTGTCCCCAGCTGTGGGATGGCAGCTTTGCCCCTTGTGCCCCACTGCCTGCCCTACCAGAGGGGGTCTTGCCTGTGAGGGCAGTGGTGAGGCTGGGGAGAGATGGGGACCCCGCCCTGTTCCTCGTGGGCTGTGGCAGGAGCAGAAGGGGGTGAAGCTCCCTGTGGTGGGACTAGCTGCTCCTGGAGTCTTGCCGCTCCCTCCTCTCCTGGCCCCATGGCAGCTCCCATGGTGGCCCTGCCCCTATTCTGTCAAGGGCCAGCAGGTTACAGCCGCAGTGGTTTTTAATTAAATCAAGCCGCACTGGCGCAGTGGCCCAGCCGTGCCCATCTGTTCCTCCAAGCTGTCGGGTGCGTGGCGCAGAGGCAAGCTGAGTATCTAGGTTGTGCCGGAGGGCACAGTGCAGGCTCTGCCGCAGGGGCTGGCATGGGGCTGTGTCCCCCACCCCACATGAGCTGCCAGCACGCACCTGCAGGCGGGAGAGCCGGATGCGACTCTGCAGCTCTTGCAGAAGCGTGGTCTCCAGGGGGTTGGAGACCCATCTTGGTGGTCCTGGCTGTACAGCTGTGAGCTGGGGAGGGAGAAGGGAGGTCATCAACAAGGCCAAGTTGGAGCTTCGATGGGTCCGTGCAGTGCCCTGTGTGTCACCCAGCACAGGGGTGCGGGTGGTGTTGCCTGGCCCCTGCCCTGGGGGAAACACACCTTACTCTGTTTAACATTTCCCCACACTAATACCTTAATGAGGCCAGTGCTGTGGCAGGCAATGGTAATTGTGTTAATTAAGAGATCCCGCTCATTCTGTGTGAGTTTTAGACCCTGTCTTCAACTGCATCTGAATTGGAGTGTTGAGTTTGGACAACAGTGGCTTGCAACAGCCTAATCCCCTAATTATAGCAGCAGCAGCACAAAGGCATCGTTAACCAAATTAAAACAAGCCAATCTCCCCAGTCAGGAGGAGCAGATGGAGAGCCATGGCCTCAATCCCTGGCTGAGCTGCAGACCCCAGCGTGTGATGTGGCAGAGACGTGTCCCCCACAGTGGAGGCAGGGGTCCTGCTCGCCCAGCGCCATCCCCAGCATCGGGGTCCCAGTGGTCCTCACAGAAGCTCCTGCCATGCCTGGGCCTTGAGTGAGCTGGAAATGCATCAGGGAAGAGCCTGGGTTGCCATCAGCAGCTGGGAACAGGCTGTGGAGTGAGGCTCGGGTGCTCTGGCCAGCTGGTGTGTGGGGAAGGCTTGATCACCGCCTGTAAATGTCTGCAGGGAAAGAGATGTGAACCAGAGGTTCTTCAGCCAACCGAGCAGGAGTGTAGTGACAGCTGAGGGCTGGCCATCAAACCCAGGCAGGTGGAGAGGAGCAAAACTTCAATAGCAAGCAAGAAACGTTAGCATTAGTGATGGGGAGTTTCCTGGGGCTGGAGAGAGTCTTTACCCTGGGAATATTTTTAATCTGAATTTGATGCATTGCTGGTAATCATGGCTGCTGGGAGTGGGCAGGGAGGGATTAATGCACTTTCCAGCCTGGGCTTTCCTGGAATTTAACACGAGCCAAGCGGTCCCTGGGAAGCCCGGCAGCCTCGTCCTCCTGCCCTCCTCCAAAACCTCTTCGCTCCTTTCTGCTCCCTGCAATAGCTTTGGGGAATTTGCAATGTGAGCAAAAGAAAATATTTCCTTTCACCATTCTGAGTGAAAAATAGGGAAATTGAGCCGAAGCTGCTTCCACCCCTCTCCTCCTGATAACTGGAGCTTCTCCCAGGCAGTGAGTATCACACAGGAAAACAAGCCCGTGACATGAGGACTGCACTGCAGGGCTGCGTGGGCACACAGGCAGGATCACCCAAGGCTTGGGGGTCCTGAGGCTGAGTCCCTGCCTAAATGTGAGTAACTTGGGCCAAGATAGAAGATGTCACTTTGTGAAGCCCCGTGTCCAGCACATGAGCGAAGTGCAAATAGCAGCAGTGGCATCCGTGTTCCTCCCTCTTGTCCATGTGGCTGCCTGTGGACCCAGCTGGGTGAGGAGAGTGCGCAGCCCCCAGGCTGGAAGAGCCAGTGTCCCCCTTCTCCCTGTGCAGCTCAGCTCACTGGCACATCAGCTTTCCCAAAATAGCTGTCCTTGGGACAGGCGGGGGGGTTATGTGATCCTGTGGCTGCTCTTCTCTGCCCTTGGGCTGCTTGGCAGCGTGGAGCCCTCTGAGGAGCCTGAAGGAAGCAAAGGACGATGTCTTAGGTCAGGGAACACATTCTGGGAAGGGGCATGCACAGCCCAGGAGCAGCATGAGCAAGGGAAAATCCCCTTAAGGAATGACACGGAGAGGAGGCCACTGACTGCACCCCCCAGGCTATGCTCAATGGACTGCGGATGCTTTTGCTGGAGGTAGGGGTGGAGATGGCCGGTGGAGCATCCCATTGTGTGGGGTGCTTGTCATGGAGGCACCACCGGTGCGAGCCCTGGCTTGCCAGCACTGCCAGGGCAGTGGAGCAGAGCTTGCTGCCTCCCCCGGTGCCGTCAGCTGGTGCCTGTGCTGGTGCTAGGCTCTCTTGCTGCCTCCTGGCTTACCCCTGCTTCTGCCTGGATCTGCTCACACCTGGCGGGCACCAGCTGCCTGGATCTTCCAGCAGCCCCAGGGGCTGTGCTCGGAGCCAGGCCTGACACTGATGTCTCTGTGCAGGTTGGCATGGGGCTACTGCCTGGGGACAGGAGCATTCTGGGAGCTGCTGACCCAGCAGGTGCTGCAGGTTGGGCAGCAGGATGGATCCTGCCCACTGGTCCTTGCTTCTGCAGCTGTAGTGGGGCCGTTCCCTGCTGGGGAATGGGATCGCAGTGGGAGACCCGGGCTGACACATGCCGGTGAGCAGGTCCCTGTTGTCCCCAGGGCGTGCAGGACGGCTCCGCTCCAAACACACTGCCTGTGCAACAGAAACCCCTTGTCCCTGGAGAGGGACACGCACCCACAAACGCTTGTGTGCGTGCACACATTCATGCTCGAGGGGCTGTACAGATGCTCCCAGATATACACACATGCACAATAGCATACTTGTGCTGACAGTTTCCCTGGATCCAGCCAGACCTCTAGCAACACCTGCTCCTCTTCCCCATGCCCTTCCACGCTGCCACCAGAGCAGCTGAGCCAGGGTGACCCAGTCCCCCTACCCCAGTCTGTGTAGCCCGGCCAGCCAGGGCTTGGGGTCAGCTGGAAAAAATGTTTGTCCCAAGCGAGCTGTATTCAGCCCAGCACCGGAGCCCTGCTTGTCACAGGGTTCTCTTGGTTGCTCAATGATGCTCATGCACACCTGGGGAGAGGCGATGCCCAGGGCCCCAGCTAATCTCTCCTGTCTGTGTCCAGAGAGCCAGCCCACGACGTCGGACGAGACTGTGGTGGCCGGTGGTACAGTGGTGCTCAAGTGCCAGGTGGAGGATCCTGATGACTCCTCACTGCAGTGGTCCAACCCTGCCCAGCAGACCCTCTACTTTGGGGAGAAGCGAGGTACATGCACGGGGAACTGGGGATGGGAGAGGGCTGCCTCAGGGAGAGGAGCCAGCTCGAGGGCCAGAGCAATGGTGAGGCAGAGGGAAAGTGGACCAGGACCCGTGGTGCCCCAGAGGGTGAAGTTCCCTCCTGCTCCCCACCTATAGCGATGCCACCAGGCAGAATACGAGCTAGCAGAGGGATGTGGTGGTACTGAGACTCACCCTGTTGTCCCTTTTTCCCCAGCCCTGCGAGATAACAGGATCCAGCTGGAGAGGTCCACACCCAACGAGCTGACCATCAGTATCAGTGATGTGGTGCTGTCAGATGAGGGGGAATACACCTGCTCCATCTTCACTATGCCCGTGCGGACTGCGAAGGCCCTGGTCACCGTGCTGGGTAAGCCACCAGTGGCAGCCCTGCCCCTGCTCCCGATCTTCTGCCTGCTACTGCCCTGCCTGCAAGATGCTGTCCATACAGCCATTCATCTCTGCTACTCCCCTATCCATACCTGTTAATTTATCCTTGCCGTGTTTATTGACATGTGTCTGCATGTGCGTCCATCTCTGGGTGGCAGCACACACACAGCTAATAGGCTGTTGTATTTCTTGCCTCCTCCTCTACCAGGAATCCCCCAGAAACCCCAAATCTTTGGCCATGAGCAGCCCATTGATGAGGAGAAGATAGCCCGGCTGACCTGCCGGTCCTCTGGCAGCAAGCCTGCAGCCCAGCTCCGGTGGAAGAAGGGCAACAAGGAGCTGAAGGGTGGGTGCCCAAGGGACTGGGGTGGCTGGGGAACACCGTGGAGGGAGGTGGGGCATCAGGGGTTGCAGATGTGCCCGGTGCTGGACCACAGTGGCATTCTGTGTTACTGCCAGAAAAGGGATTGGGGACAGGGTGTCCCCTGCTCAACACACGTTAGCCTCATGCCTCTGCTGGGGTACTGTGTCCATCAGCTCTAATGGTCCCCTGTCCCCACAGACGAAGGCACTGAGGTGGTGGAGGACCCCAACGGAAAGACCTTCACCGTGAGCAGTCGGGTGGAGTTCCGTGTCACCAAGGAGGACAACGAAGCCGAGGTGACCTGCACCGTGGACCACGAGTCCCTGCAGAACTCCGAGAGGTCGACCACGCAGAAGCTGCAGGTCCACTGTACGTGGCGCGTGGGGATGACGTGACAGGGCCACGTGGGGAAGGGGACAGGGCCGTGGAGGGGTGGGAGAGATGGAGGAGGCCTCAGCATCACCACAGTTCAGCAGACATCACACACATGGCCCTACCTTTATACGTACATACAGCCACCATGCATACACACATAGAAGCTCATCGGCCTGCGTACACAGTGGTCCTGTCACACATAGGGGCACTGCACAGTGACACTTTCCCTGTGCGTGCATGCCCTTGGTTTCCCCTGCCTGTCCCTGTCCCCTGTGTCCTGCCTGTCCCCGTCTCCCTGCGACTTGTCTGTGCCATCCCCTGCCCTGCCTGTCCCCATTCTCCTTGTCTTGCATGTCCCCTGTGATGACGGGCTGAGGGACGTGGGAGCTTCACTGTGCACCCCCAGAGTGCCAGCCTCCACTCCGGTGCACCCTGCCACCCACAGGTGCACTCACGCTGCACCACTGCACACACAGAGCTGGGGCCGAGGCAGGGGGCAGGGGCAGGGTTTTGGGGTGCTGGCAGGCCCCTGCACAGTGTGGGGCAGGGACAGGCAGTCACCCAACTGTGCCTTCCCTCCTTTTTCAGACAAGCCAACAGCGAAGATCGAGCCTCATCCCCAGTACCCACGGGAAGGCGAGAAACTCCAGCTGCAGTGTGACGGGCAGGGCAACCCCATGTAAGGTCCCGCCTTGCCTTCCTCCTGCTCAGCCCCACCAAGCCCTGGCCAACTCATCCTCCTGCTGCCAGGCTCCTAAAACCACCGCTTAGCCCTCCCCAGAGCTTGGGCAGGGCATCACAGGTAGCATTGTGTGGGCTCAGGGCCGGGCACTGGCCTTGCATCAATGCCAGGTAGGGCTGGGCACCCCATGGAGAACAGGCAAAGCCACTGCCCTCTGCCCAGAGCAGCAGATCCATCCTGGCTCATCTCTAAATGGGGTATTTCCCTTCTGCTTAAATACTCCTTTGTTGCCCCCTCCACTGCCCAGCCAGGGAGTCTGCTCTGCCCCAGCCAGCCCAGGGTGCTGGGATGGGCAGCAGTGCCTCACTGCCATCCCGCTCCACAGCCCCCAGGAGTTCCTGTGGGAGAAGGAGGGCAGCGATGCGCCCCTGCAGCTGAGCTCTGACAGCGTCCTCATCTTCCCCTTCCTCAACAAGAGTGACAGTGGCACCTACGTCTGCACAGCCACCAGCTCCATGGGCAGCGTCGTGGCCAAGTACAACCTCGACGTCAGCGGTAAGCCCAGCATCACCCGGCTTCTCCCAGCAGCTACTGGTTGGCACAGCTGCCTCCATCCTGGCTGCGTATCCCCGTGAAGGGGTGCATGGATCCAGGGAGGGCTGTGGTGGGAGGGGGGCATTGTGGCGCAGGGCAGGTGTGCGCATGCAGCTGGGTCCTGGTGCATTCGCTGGCAGAGCGCTGCATCCCCAGCTCCTCCGGCCACATCCAGCCCCCCTATCCTTCCCTGCGCTGTGCAGGGCTTCTGCCTGGGGCCGAGAAGGGCAGAGAGCAGTGTGGGGGAGTTGAGGCAGGGACACAGCACAGCACAGGCTGAGCTCAGTCCCTGTTGCCTCCAATGGGGAGTGGGAGAGGGTGAGATGGGGGAACTGCAGAGGCTGCAGGCGGGACTCTGCTGGAGTCTCTGAGACAGGAGGAAAAGCCAGTGCTCCCGAGCCTGTTGCAGGCAGCAAGCTTCTGTGTGTCGCCGCCACGAGCCAAAGAGGATTTCCAGATGGTGCCAACCCCTCCAAACCACGAGGTGCCCTGGCAGCCCTGTCCCAAGCTTCTGGAGATGGGCCCCATGGCTTGCCCTGAGCTGCTGGAGCTGTAGGCTTGCATTGCGTCCCGTGTCCCCAGAGCGTATCACCACTTGACACCCGTCCTCGCAGGTGGCAAGGTGGGAAGGTGCAGCACCCGCCACCTCCCCACGGTGCTGTCCCCTCACTGCCTTCCCCTGCCCCGGCCGTGCCCTGCTGCCATGTTTGCTGTCGTTGTGCCCTGCTACCAAGCGCTGTGTGTCATACGTGGAGCAGAGCTGTGTGCTGTGCAGGGCTGCGAGCGCTTCTCCAGCCCGTCCCCAGCTGGTGGCAGTGCTGCCCCAGCGCCTGCGCTCGGCACCCCGCCCCTTGCCCGGCAACTTTCCCGTGTTGGTAGGAGCCTGTTTCCCTGTGTTTTTGGCCTTGGATTTGGGGTTATCCTCCTGCCAAATCTTTTGCCATTTCTGTCCTCTCTACCACCCTTGAACTTTCCATCTTCTAGCACTCCTACATGCTCCAGCTCTTTCCTTTCCCATCCCCTTTCCCTCCCCTCCTGTTTTGGGTATTCTCAGCATCCTTCCCCTCCAACGTGGCTGTGGGTAGAGGGAGTGCATGGCAGCAATGGCACCTCGGGCACCCTGTCCCCCTGAGTCCCTCTCCTCTGCCTGCCCAGAATGAGTCCTTAAATGCCCAACCTTGTGCAGTCGTTCCTTCGTTACCCCTTGTGTCCCTGCCATCGCCCTGAGTGTGGGGTCTGCACAGGGAGCTGGTTCCTGAGCCCGGCTGTGAGCACACAGCAGCACCCACAGCCCTCTGTACCCATCCAGGAGCACAGCAGCCCCCAGGGTGCTCAGCACCCATTCATGGGCTCACAGCAGCATCCAGGGTGCTCAACACTGTCCACGAGCACACAGCACCTGGAACACTAGTGTCCCTTACCCGCTTGGTGTCACAGCCCCGGGCAGAGGAGCTCCACATCTAGGTTCGGTTCCCCTCGTCAAATCCACCTTCTTTTTCCCCAGAGCCACTCAGGTCTTGGGCACCATCACTGGAGCAGCCGCCTTGCCCACCCGAGCCCTCGAGCCTGCCTGCCGCAGCAGCCACCTTGCTCGGCAGTGAGGGAAAGCAGGGACGGAGTGGTCCCTGAGGGTGTGTGTAGGAAAGTGTAGGTGGCGCCTCACGGCAGGTGACACTTGCCAGCCACCGCAGTCCCAGGGCTCCTAGGCAGGAGGGTCCCAGTGGGGTCCTTCACGGAAGAAGGGATGACCAGGGGTCCTGGCAGGGTAGGAGATGGGGGAAGATGTTCACAGCAGTGTGTCCCAGAGGACGATGGCAGGAGAAGAGGAGCAGGACCCATGGCCCAAGAAAGGGGTCGTGGAAGGAGCTGCTGAGAAGAACAGGTCCCATCAGGCTGGGGGGAGCTGGTGTCCCCTCCGATGGGCTCTGTCACGCCTCACTGGCACCTCCCCAGGGTTGATTCGTGTCCCTGTGTTTTTGTCGTCTTCCCCAGATCTTTCCCAGCTCCCCACCCCACACGTTCACTCCACTCCAGCCCCTCCGCCGGGCTCTTCCCAGCCCATCTCTCATGCTTCCATGGCCACCGCTTCATCCTTCACTCCAGCTCCCATCCAAGGTACCGTAAGCTCCTTTTCTCTCTCTTTATGGACCCGCTACTCCCCAGCTCAGCGGGAGAAGCTCCACAGGAGGATGGTGGCCCAGCCCTGGGCCAGGGGACACCCTTGCCACATCCCAGGTGCCCAGCCAGGCTCCAGTCCCTGTGCAGCTGCTTGTTGGCGTGTGTGGACTCTGCAGCCACCATCTCAGCACTTCAGGGTGGTGGTATGCAACAGAAAGAGCCAAGGCCCCAGAGCCTGGGCTGCGTAATGGTCCTTCCAGCTCTTCCTGGCAGGTTGTGGCAGCAGCTGCCTGTGAGCTGCAACGTGTGCCTTGTGTCCATGTGAGATGTCGTCCTTCTGTCGCCTCCCCTGTTGTCTTTCCCACCCCATCCTGTCCGAATGCCTCCTCTGAATGTTCCTGTGGCTCTGTCCCCTCCAGGCTGATGGGGCACAATGAGAGTGGACTGGAAGGAGGATTTGTCCCTGTGTACCACGGCTAACGCAGGATCCCAGTGCAGACTGCACTACAAGATGCAGCTGACTTAGGACTGGCCTCAGAGTCCCACCTTCTTCGGGGTGCCCTGTGCTCCTAGGGTGCAGTGTGTGGCCATGCCAGCCTGCACATCACCTTCTTGCTGTCACAGCACAGGGGAAGAGTGAGCCAAGCCTGGCTCAGCCGTGTGCTCAGCCTCCTCTTCTGGGGCAAAAATCCCACCGTGAAGGATGGGGTGGTGGGATCATGGCTGTGCCTGCAGGCGGGTACCACAGGCTGCACAAAGCATGTTGCTGGTGCTGCTCCCTAGGGCACGTTGCAGGCAGCCAGGCACAGGGATGGGTTTGCCCATTGCAGCTCTTCTCGGCTGCCTTCTCGCCCAGGCAAGGCTCCCAGCACAGCTGTCGGGGCTCCTCTCGGCTCGCTCCCCACAGGAGCTGGCACCAATGGCCATTGCTTTCCCCTCCTTGCTTTCCCTGCTGCCTTCCCTTTTCTTACTCCCACCTTGACAGTTCTCATCTGCAGCAGGATCGAGCTGATGGCACTGAGCTGAGCAGGATTGGGGCCTGCCTACAGCCCTGAGCAGTCTGTGGGATGAGCAGCAGCCTCTGTTGCACAGCAGAGTCCGCAGTGTCTCCTTCTCTCTGTTTTCTCTCCCTTTGCCATCTGGGCAGATGCCAGCCCGGTGCCCTCGACCTCCAGCACATACCATGCGGTGATCGGCGGGGTGGTTGCCGTCATTGTCTTCCTCCTGCTCAGTCTTCTCATCGTGTTGGGACACTACCTGATCAGACACAAAGGTATGGGGTGGGGGAGCTGCACAGTGGGGTCACGGAGCCAAGACCCCTGTGCTGCGTCGGCGCAGGCAGCACAGGGCGTGCTCCCCCCTTGGTGGGTCTCTGGGAGCAGGGCTACGTCCCCAAAGCGAGCAGGCAGCATGGGGCAGGGGTGAAGGGAGGCAGCTCCCCGTCCTGCAGACCTGTCCCGTGTCCGGAGAAACCCAGCGCAGCCACCGGAGCCCTCCTGGGTTTGGGGGCTGCTGCCCATGCCCATGCTGGCACCAACCCCAGCATGGAGATGTCCCAGGGAGTCCTTGGAGCTGGGCAGCACCAGGTGGAGGCGGCTCCTTCCCCATTTCTCTCTCTCTCCTTCATGGCTTGGTACCCACCGCCCCAGGACTGCCTGTGCCACTGTCCCTGTCTGTGCCTGACCCCACCTCCTCCCTGTCCCTGCCTTCCTCACCATCCCCTGAGCCCTCCGCCTTTCTCTTCCTCCTTCTCCTCCACCATTTCCATCTCCCCATCCCTGGACTTTTCATCCACCCAGCAGGTATGTGCATAAGACACGGGGAGACGGTCACATCCAGACATCGGCAAAACCCAGCAGAGGTGATGTGTGAGTAAGAGTCCCCCATCCCTGCCCTCCAAGCCCAGCAGAACTGCCGCTGTCTCTGCCCCACACCATGCCGGCTCCAGGGGCAGTCAGGAGCTGGAGCCTCCTTACAGATGGCAGTTTTGCAGAGAAACCTTCCAGTTTTCTGAGAGGGAATAGGGACAGGGATGCAGGGAGGGGCAGACAGTGGGGAGGGCAGGAGACGTGCCTGGAAATGCAGGCAAGGGCTGCTGCCTGTAACGGGGGAGGCAGTTTCATCTTCTGGCTAGAGACGACTGTGAAAGCCTTGAGCAGCCCAGGCGAGGCTCAGTCCCTGGGCAGGGCTTGTCCCTGGGCAGGGCTTGTCCCAGGGAAACCAGTGACTTTTCCATTTCAGGCCAAACCCAAAGGACTTTCACCTCCACTTTCCAGCCAGCCCTCAGGCTCTGCCACCGGGGCCCCTCCAGGCAGCCCAGCCTCCCCCTGCTTGCGTGGGAGCAGGGTGCCGGCAGGGTCCCCTGTGACGCCAGCTCCCTCTCCTCCCCCAGGTACCTACCTGACTCATGAGGCCAAGGGGTCGGATGATGCCCCAGATGCCGACACGGCCATCATAAATGCAGAGGGCGGCCAAGCTGGCAGCGACGACAAGAAGGAGTATTTCATCTAGGGGCGTCGAAGAGAGTGAGAAATGGAGCCAACAGACCCCGATGGCAATGGAAACCAGACCACAAACCCCACTCAACCCAACAGATTTTCTCGCACGCCCGGCATGGGCAGACAGACGGACAGAGGGATGGCGGGGCAGAGAGCAGAGAGCGACCGGCCTGAGACATGATGCTTCTTCTTGAACTTGTACAAAACGTTATTACTATGAACAGCGAAAGCCCCGGCCCCGTTTGCTTGCTTGCACCTCCATCCCTGCGACGGGCGCTCGCACAAAACACAGACCAACCAGTGAGTGAGCGACTTTCCTTCTTCCTTTGGACCTTTGCTTTGGTTTCGTGGCTGCTCTTTGCTTTGGGCCCTTGGTTGGGATGTTGGGCTGGGGTCGATGTAGCTCTTTCCTTTGTTTCTCTCCATTTTGGTTTCTTTGACATCCAAGGATAAAATCAGCTCCAGGCTCTGGTACAAGCTCGGGGCAGCTAGGCAGCCCCTCTGTCATGAACGCTCACCCCGTGCCTCCCACTGAGAGCCGGGACCCACATTCCCATTGCTCCCCCCAGCCTCGCCTGCTCTGTGATGGCCCCAGCCCCAGCTGGGACAGGGACCACGGCCAGCGGGACAGGAGCAGGATGCCAAGAGGCAGCACCTCTGCCTCCAAGGTCTTGGTGCAGCTGGGGTCAAGCGGGGAGGGACCCCAGGCCCCTGCCCTGATTTTATCCTTGGTGGTTCTTGTCGAACAGCGTCCATTCGGGAGGATAGCTGTCCTCGTGCAGTAGATGTGTGAAGGGGGGGTGAGCTTCCAGGGTGGGAACTGCTGAGGCCCCCAGAGAGACTGGGAGCTGCCAGGCACTGCAGCTCCCTGGTCCCACCCCAGCGGGAGGGGGGAGGGCAGAGGTTTGGGGGCGAATCCAGAGAAAAAGCCCCAACTTTACAAATTCTCAGATTGGAAACGTGAATTTAAACCATCTATTGAGATGTTCAGTGCAGGAGGCCACCTGTCCTGGGAGCACCAGGCAGAGCCAGGGGAGCTGGTGGGCCTGTGGCCATCGCCACTTCCCTCTTTGCTGGGCTGGCTCTGGGGCCCCCGGAGCCTCTGGAAAGGTAGTTTAGACCCTGGGAGTGGCTTCAACCAGAGCTGACACACTGGTGGCACCACGGGAGCTGAGCTGGAGACAACCTGCTCCCCAGTGCAAGCAGCCCCAAGCAGCACGAGGCCTGGGATTCTTCTGGCCAAGGAGATGTGCAGCGAGGGGCTCCACTGGGGTCTGCTTCTTGGAACTGTCTGTCCCCCTTCCCTCCCCAGCCCCTTCCCAGGGCAGGTGTGAGCTTGGAAAAGGCCATTTCCCTCTCGGCTCCAAGGGCTGCAGCCAACAGCAGCTGAAATGCCTGGGTTTAGTGTCTCAGTAGTTTGGGGGTCTCCAAGGAGGCTTGGGGGAGCTTGCCCTACCTCCTAACTGTTTCACTATCTCTTCCAAAACAAAAACAAGAAGCTTTCCCAACCTCTCCAGCATGTCCCCAGGGTCCACTTGGTGCACCCCAACCGCACACCCAGAGGATGGGGCTGCAGGGGGCTACGCACTCCAGCATCTGCAGGACACCCCTCACTCTTGGGATGAGGTTTTCCAGCTTCCCAGGATCCCAGCGTCTCTTGGTCTGGACACAAGGGGTTTGCAGGAGCCGCCCTTCAGCTGGGCACCCCTTTGATTTCAGGTTGTCTGGAGGAAGAGACCCCTTCAGGAAGGAGCAAAAGCCCTTGGTGGTGTGGGTAACCTCACCTTGGAAGCAGAGAAAGAAGTTGTGTCCTCCACTGTGGGGTACCAGGTGCCTGTGGGGCAGGTAGTGTCACTCCCATCCAGACCCTGCGAGCACGTGACACGAGGAGGATGCCCACGGGGAAGCCATCGCAGAGCGAGCAGGGCTGGAAGGGGGCTGGGGCCAAGCAGACGAGGAAGAAGAGGCATGGTTCTGTGGCAAGCACAGGGTGTGAACGAGCGATGCATTTGTGGCAGGTGCACAGATGTGACTAGGTTCACTGTGGCTAAATTGTGTGTCAGGAGCACGCAGGCAGCAGGGTGTTAGCACCTTGAGGGAGAAGTGCACAAAGCCTTTGTGGTACATGGCGAAGAAAACCTGCGGTTTTCTTGATGTTGTTCCTCCCTTCCCATCTCTTTGGAGGAGGACGTTGGCCTGGAGTCCCAACGGTAGCTCCGAGCTCGTTGTGAGGGATGCAACCATTGCTGCCGGAGATAACACTACAGATGTCGATGCTGTTAACTACTCCACTGCACACTGAGCATGTATGAATGTGTGACCTGATGCTTCGCTGAAGATCTTTAACATCCACTATCGAATAGACATAATTCCTTCAAATAAAAATGCAAGGACATGTTTTCAAGTACAATTTAATCTCATTGTAAGTCTACATGCTGTGGATGGTTACAAAGAAAACCCCAACCCAGGGGTCTGGGAGGGAAGGGGGTTAACTGGTCCCTAGGGAAAGGGAGGTGGGAGCTGAGGTTGGACAGGGAGGTCTGTGCCCCTTTGAGGCAGTGTGGGCACGGCTGTGGGCAGTTTCTCCCCAGCACTGCTGCTCCAGAGCTGCTTCAAGGGCTGGTGCTGGTGGTCACCACTTTGCCCTGGTGAGAGAAGTCAGGATTTGGCCTTTTTGAGATGCCGCATGGTATGGGACGTGACAGGATGCAGCACGGGGAGGACCAAGCATGGGCAGGGCATCGGGGTGGGACCTGCTGCCTGCGGCAGACATCAGCAAAGGATGGGCTGGGTCTCACCCCAGGTGGGCCCGTTGTCCTGCTACAGCCACTGCGAGAGGCTGAGCTATGGCTCCAGGCGTCGCAGGTCCTGGGAGTGGTAGGAGCAAGAACATGAGGCTGCGTCTGTGAGCAAGAGCCAAAGGGCTTTGGTAGATGCAAGGGAGCAGTAGACCCACTGCTGTGGGCACGAGGGCAAGGGAGAGTCCACGTCACATGTGAGGGGTGACACACCAGATCACACGTGTAAAGACAGAGATGGCGTGGGATGAGCGCGAGGGGCGATGGGGACACCATCATGAGGCTGCGATGGGGCACATCACGGCGTAGGAGGGTGCAGTGATGGTGCACCCACCCTGCTGCCAGTGGAAGGTATAATGGGATACACCATGTCATGAGCGTGATGGAGAAACGACTTCGCAAGTTTGAGGCCCTGATGAATAGATCATGTCACGGGTGTGAGGTGTGGTGGGAAATGCCGTTTTGGGAGTCCAGGGGCATTGGTGGGGTACACTGTGTGTTGAGTCTTTTGGGGTGATGAATACACGGAGTCACAGGTGTGCAGAGGAACAGGTACACAGCCATGAGTGGGGGCACGATGGGTGTCAGTTGTGAGCTGCACCACACCATGAGTGTGTTAGGGTGATATGAGGGGGGGTGATGGGGTACACCCTGTGTTGAGTCTGGGGCACATCCTGTTGTACGTGTGCATGGCGCTGTGGTACACCAGGTCAGGGCTGTCAGGGAGGGTTGGGTACACCATGTCATAAGTGCAAGAGGTGATGTGGGTCGAGTGAAGGGGTGAGAAGCTACACCTTGATGCTAGCATAGGGGTGACACCACACACCATCAGTGGCGCAGGGAGGCAGTGGGGTACATGGTGCCATTGATGTGGCTGACAGTGGATGCGCTGCACTGCAGAGGGAAGAAGCAAGGGGGCAGGCGGTGCTCCTGGGGTGGTGACGTGAGGGACACCCACACGCTGTCACATGGGAGAGAGCCACCAGGCTCCTGTCCCCTCCCTGCCAGCGCCCAGCAAAGCTGGGCGGTGTCACCGTGTGGCTGGAAGAGCCCAGGGCACCAGCCACCCCCCTGAGCCTCGGTGGCCCCTTCAGGAGCAGGGGGTCCTTGTTGGCCACGCGGGCCAGGGACCTCCAGCCCCATGTCCACCCTGTGCCACTACAGTCACCCATGCTGGGCCGGGGCATCTGAACTGGGATGCAGCCAGGGCCAGTGCTGGGGGAGCAGGGAGGATTCAGGACCCTGTGGCCCTCGTTTGCAGCCAGGCCTGTTCACCCCCCCACACTGGCCCTGGCGAGGCTCCGGCCGCTTCCCAGCCCGCACTGAACTCTCAATAGACACGAAAGCCATATTTGTAGGGAGCTCTGGAGATGCCATGGGGCGGCAGCGGGGCAGGGCAGAGGACGGTCTGTGGTGTTGTGCTGTGTTCTTGTATGTACATAAAAGGGAGACAACGAACATCGATGTGACTTTATAACCTTTCTAATATCCTGTGCTAAACTCAGAAAATAATCCTATAAATATATCTGAATTACACACGTTACCTGCCTGCGCGTCTCTGCTTCTGCCTGTGCGCACCAGATGCTGCCGGGGACTGGGAGATATGGCCATGTCCCCCCCAGGGTGAGGGGGAGCCAGGGGCATCGAGGCCAGGGAAGGGGGCAGAGCTCAGCCTGGTGGGGGGACATGGCTCACCCCGGTGCACAGCATGGGAGGGATGCAGCTGAGCCCATCACACAACTTACGGAAGCATAGCTCAGCCCCCTCAGCCCCCCTCAAGCCCTTGACCCCTGTCACCCCTCAGCCCCTCAAACCACAGTCTCTATCAGCTGCCTGTCCCCAGACCCCCTGTGCAGACCCCCCGCCCCTTCCCCCCCCACCGCAGACACCCAGCCCCTGACCCTCAGCTCCTCCCAAACTACCAGCCCCCCCAAACAACAGTGACTCTCCATCCTAACCCCCTGAGCCCACCCCCCCCGGCCATCCCACCCTCTGGGGATGCTCCCACCAGGCATGAGGGCCACCAAGTGCCACCGGCCTCTGCCAGTCCCCCACCAAGCTGTGCTTGCTGCCGACTGCAGCCCAGGGAGCCCATGATTCAGCCGCGGTGCCACAGGGTGACCCCGCAGGATCCGGCCTCCCATCGGGCATCCTGAGGAAAAGCTGTGGATTTCCTTGCTGTACGGGAGCTGGAAAGCACCGCGTGCCCGGGCTGTGCCACTGTGGGGGCCCCTCAGCAGCCACCCGCATCCTGCACCCACAACACCCACCCTATGCCCCAGAGCTGGGCTTGCACGCAGCCAGTACCCCTGGGATGAAACTGTACACACGCCTGAGTCCAGGCCAGCAATAGGAGCATCCGCACAGTCGGGGCGCCTGTAAATACAATTCCTAATTAATTTAAGGTGTTCTGCCAAGAAGTGGTTGTTTCCTGCTCGAGAAATTGCAGGCTTGTGCTGGTGGCTCACTGTCTTTACCGGCAGCGGTGGCCCGCCTGTTTCCTTCAGGCCCTAGCAAAGGGGATTGCCAGGCCAGGAGGGCTGCTACTAACGAGGCAGCTCTTATCTTGTTACCGCAGTTCTTTGCCTCCCTTTCGAGCAGGAGGAGTGGAGCCTGAGGGAGAGCGAGCGCAGCGGGCACTGCTGTGCAACGTGGCTCTTGGAGAGCATTCACCACTGTGCGTGGTGCCCACTGGAGAGCATGCACCCCTGGGCACAGAGCCCTGCAACGAGCATGCGCAGCTGACCGTTGGCTGCCACGCACAACGCCCACTGGAGACCCCAAACACAGAAGAGTGGGTGCTGTCCTGGGACACACATCATGGGCAACTGCATCCCGGTGGTGAGTGCCTCTCCCCTCCCCTGCTGCTTCTCCCCAGCAATTTCCCATCCTGCTGGACACGAGGGCTGGGGCCACATGGGTTCACAGGGGTGAGCAGAGCCATGGCTCGCAGTGGATACCGCCAGCAAACACTCACTTGCAGACGGTGGGGTTTGCACTTACCTGCTGTGGGATTTTCACCCACCCACTGGGGGTCTGCCACCCTCCTTTGAGGCTGTAAGAAAATTTGTGCTTTCATGCACAGCGGAGCCAGCCCAGGATAATCCCGCACCCCCGAGGTATCAACTGCAGGCGGCCTCCCCTCTCCCCACAGCGTGTCCCTCCCTGATAAATCACCCTGCTCAACCTACACCAGGGCTGTACATGAATCCCCTAGCACCACCAGGACAGCAGCTCCATGGCAGGGAGCAGCAGCCCATTAGAGGGGATGTCTCAAGCAATGCTGTGGGATGCAGGCACCTGCGGTTGGCCAGGTACGTCCCTGCCTGACGCCCACTGGTCTCATTTGCAGAGCCCCAGCGTCCTGGAGAGCAAAAGCTCCCTGGACCTGCTGGAGATCATGAGCAACTACTCCTACGATGATGTCAACATGACCTCCCTGGACTACGATGCCGCGCCCTGCCACAACGAGTACTGTCCCCTGTTCCAGCGTGTGGCCCCCATCTTCCTGGCCATCACCTGCGCCGCAGCTGCCCTGGGCACTGGGGCGCTGCTGGTGGCACTGGCCAAGTGGCCCCATGCCTGGGGCTGGCCTCAGAGTCGAGCACTGGTGGGCCAGTTGGCAGTGGGGATGGGTCTCTTTGCTGGCCTGCTGCCACCGGTGGCAGTGGGCATCGGGCAGGGCTGGCAGCTGGGCACAGGGCTGTGCAGGCTCACCCACCTGCTGTGGCACTGGAGCCTCTTCGCACAGGGGCTGCTGGTGGGCAGTGGCTCCTGCAGCACCGCCTGGTGCCGCTGGAACCCCCCGGGCCGGCGGGTGGGCGGCGGCGTCGTGGGCCGGGCGGG